TTGGGTAGGGCTGTTAATATGGACAGTCAATGTAAGAGTACTAAAGTACTTACGATATACTCGTAGTGTGGAGTTACATAATACTAGATATCCAACCGTACTGGAAGAGTACACAGATACAATTTAGATATATAGTAGCAATGACTCAAACAACACTAGTGGCTACGGTTATGCTAGCCTGAACATACGTATTTTGGAATCCCCAAACTAGATTCGGTTTCACAATGGAATCCAAAATGTGTATATCGGATAGTTGTGAGACAGAGGCTAAATGGTATCGCTAGTTTTGAATGGGGATATGTGCCATTGATCTATTAATCATAGATGTGGATGACACGTAGTCAGTTGTATAATGGTAGTCCAAAATATTACTTTGTCACAGATATAGTATCATTATACAACTGTTCTCAACTATAGATATTTTGGTTGACTGTATGAAGTCAAAAGATAATATTGCGGATACACTAACCTGTGTGTTAAACAGATGATAATTGAGAAAATGACAAAAGGAATGAGATAGCATGTACAGTAAAAAGTCTTAAGAAGAAAAACCCAACCAAGTTGACTGGAGATCCCAAGATTTAGGTTCAAAGGGACAACCTAATCATAAGACTTGGTGTGGTCACTGTGGGGGTAACCTCAACTCATTCTTGTCATCAAACAGTGACATGATAGAAAAGGATAGCAAACGGTTGCTTTAATGACAGTTAAGTGAGAAATATCATTTACTCTAGACTTAAGAAGTCACCTATGTAAGAGAGAAGTGGGGCCGCTTCAAAGGAGAACTGTTAAGGCTTAGTTCTTTAGAAACTCTCGCAGAACCAGGACGTGTTCATGGCCAAAATGAACAAAATCATGAGAACGGAACTACAAAGAAAGGGTTCATGTGTATTGTATGTAGGTTTGTTTACACAATACAGCCAGACAATTCAATGACATCGCGTCTATTGGACATCTAGTAAAGCAAGCATACTTTACAAGGAGGAAGTTCAAAGGGTAATACCTACTTTCTCTTTGCAGGAATCAGTTGGTGAACACCATCTCCATCAAGTCAAACCAATGTCTCATTCATGTGAGAGATTGTTGGAAATGAGCTATTAATTTGAATGAAAATTGTTTTCTCATAGATTGAAAAAATTGAGGTTATGCTATCGGAGTTATCTTAACTCACGTATGTGCCCAACCTGTGGATACAAATGTCGCCCCGAACTCTCGTGGAGCTGATCAACCCACGTTTGCTCTGTCTAAGATTAATTTTTGAGTCAAATAATAGAGAGACTTTTGCTGCTTGAATTAATTCCAAACGGTTTCATTTAATCCGAATTTGGCCGGATTGATTACCAATGGTTATGAGGGAGTTAATGAATATAATATTTCATTAAGCACGGGAATTAATTTGCTACAATAAAACTGACCGTTTCAGCTTTGAATTTATGGGATTAATTTATTTAAATGAGTAAAAGAAATTCATTCAATTACTTGAGTTGTTACAAATGTTTAAACATTTGACTCACAATTATTCTGCTACAATTAAAGTTAATTAATAAGAGAAAACTGTTGGGTGCTGAATTCAAAGGGTCTATTCATGACATAAATAGTGGCTCATTGTTCAATTCTAAGCACCCCAATTATTTTTTCATAAGTTTTGCTTTAGCCTTTTCTTCCTCTTCCTTGGTGTTCATCAAATATTTTCAAAGTTTTCAGTTCGCCAGTGAAACTACTCAGTGCTAAGTATTAAAGATTATGATTAATAGTAGTTGAAGGAGGATTTAATTTAGTGATAATTATTCCTGAAAAATTATCAAGAGTAATTATCAGGAATAGTTTTTATTTAAAATTGTAGTAGTTTTTATCTAATAATGTAGAATGCTTATAAATATGGCATTAGTTCTTTATTTTGGAGATAAATCAATTACAATGTAGCTATTTAATTAATTCACCTCTCATTTCTCTTTTATTGAGGTTTTTCATATTTTATTTTTTCTCATCATATTTTATTTTTCTTCTTGGTTAGTGCCATGCTTTTGCTTATTTTTTTCTTTCAACAAATAAATCATGATTAGTTCAGTCATGAATATCAACAGTAGTGTCATGTTTTAAATCCAAAATCTTAAATCACTTCTCTTCTGCTGTTAATCCCAAATTCTAGTTTGATTCTCCCAAGAATGTCCATAATCTCCACAAATCTTTCACAAATCAATCCATTGAACCATAATTTTTTATTGTTCTTTTTTTCTTTTACAAATCAACTTTAGTTGATCCACAAATTTCAAACAAAGAGGAAAGATACCTCCGAGTCACTCTGCAAAATTTCCATTATGACAAAAGTCAGATTACCTTAAAAAAAAAAAAAAAAGAGTTTTGACTTGTAATACAACAATCTAACATTTACAAAAATTTTCAATATGGTAAAAGTCATCTTCTCTCAAAAGAAGAGTTTTGATTTGTCATACCACAATCTAACAAAGAAACAAAAATTTCAAGCAAGTGATCCAAAACATGGGCAGAATCACTCAAGACAAAGAATCGATAGTGGTCTACAAGTTTTCACTACTCCTGTTCTGGAGGATGAGAAAGTCGTCAACACAATCAAAGCAAACTGGCTATCCAACCCTGACTCAGTTTGAGGGAGGATATTAAAGATTATGATTCATAGTAGTTGAATGAGGATTTAATTTAGTGGTGATAATTATTCCTGAAAAATTATCAAGAGTGAATATCAAGAATAGTTTTTATTTAAAATTGTAGTAGTTTTTATCTGATAATGTAGAATGCTTATAAATATGGCATTAATTCTTCATTTTGGAGATAAATTAATTACAATATAGCCATTTAATTAATTCACCTCTCGTTTCTCTTTTATTGATGTTTTTTATATTTTATTTTTTCTTTTCATATTTTATTTTTCTTCTTGGTTTTCTTCTTTAAGTAGTTTTCACGTTTCTCCGTTATATCCTGTGAAATAATTGCCCACGATCCTCTAACACCTTAGGAGGGGGCAAATATGTTTTAAGAAAATCGTGTTTTCACGAGCCTCGGATTTTCTACTTCTTAAAAAAGTCATTGTTTATCATAAATATCGCATTTAATTTTTCCAACAACTAATAATTTACTAGTGGGTAATTAATTGAGTTGGTGTGATGGTGATTCTTATTATTCGAACAGAATGTTCTGCTTCACTTCATATCTCCACGCAACCAAGTAGCCATGCAGACATGATATAACCAACATGGATATTCATCGTACTGGATTGGTTTTCGTTGAATTGTATCATTGCCGATTCATTCCATTGTCGTGGAGGAAGATTATTAGCTTGAACTTCTTATTTTCTATTCTTTTTTTCTAAATTATAGGATTGAATATGCAGCAGAGCTGGTATGAATTAGTAGCTTGCAGCAAATAGTAAGCTAATTAGCTCGCTTGGAGTATATCCAAATAATAACATCTGTTACTAGCTTACACATTAAAACCGTGTAAAAAGAAATAAGACAAACTATAATATGAATGTCTAGTGATCTAAATTTGTGATTTAAAGCTTTTTTTTTTAAGTTCATCAATATGTAACAAATAAAGGTAATGGTTTATTAAGTCACTAGGTCTCCGTCCTGCTTTGGTTCTTCTTCAGTTTGAACACCATCTAAAAAAAATATTTTTATGATTTAGCGCAATTTTTATAGTTCTAAGGAAATGTTCTTCATCAAAATGTGATAAATAAGGGAAATGGTTAGTTAAGTCACTAGGTCTCCGTCCTGCTTTTGTTCTTCTTCCGATTTCTTTTTTTTTTTTTTTTGGTAAGAAGGTTAAATTTCATTACTAGAGAAAAATTTAGGGTCACATTGTATGTACAATCACATATAAAAAGATCAATTAAAATCTCAAGAAAAGGTTTGGACCTCATAATGGCAAAAGGCGCTAACTACTGTTATTTACGTCTTATACTGATAATATTAGGACTAATATGAACACGCTTATACTACGCAAGGATTTTGACAAAATTTAGAATCTTTCGGATAATTTCACATCTGATCTTAAGATGTAGTAGAATTTGGCTAATAAAATTCGAAGTAATAATAGACTCACCATAAAAAAAAAATTTGTTGCGCGCTCTCCAAATGTAGTAAATGGTAGCACAAAGAGACACCTTCTTAGCAGCACTAAGAGTGTCATTTTGTCATACTTTACAGTGCCGGTCACAAGATGATCCCAAGAGTAAGGGACGCTCCATTCATTAAAATCGCAAATACCTTACCAAACTTGAAGAGAAAATGAACATTAAAAGAAGAGATGCTTAACATTCCACTCATTTTGATGACAAGAAAGACATACTGTATTAATTGAAGAAATCCACTTGACCACATTCGCCTTTGTGGCAATTCTATCATAAAAGCACAACCAAAAAATAAAAGAGCATTTGGGAGGAGTTAACATGTTCACAGTAGTCTGCACCACCACTGGCCCGCAACATGCATATCCAGGTTTCTGACGAATACCTTTTGTTGATTGCTCATTAGAAAAATTTTTGACCATCCCCATGACATGAAAATCTTTTTTTTTTTTTTAATCTCAAAACAGAAACTATATATGTTAAATCAGTCGTAATTTCGTTAATGAAATTTATTATACCATTTTCATCATCAATATCATAGAACATAAGGGTTTCGTGACAGATTACAAAATCGTAATCTTGTTAGTTGAACCAAAACATAGTTGAAGTAGACGTGGCATTCACAATACTACTTTCTCTTGAATAATATGGTTCTTAGTGAAAAGAAGAAAACAACAATTGTTAGAACAGCCCTTGATGTCCGTCAACAATTGCACAAATTGCTTGGTTCATTTTAACAAAAACAATTCGCATTGTTAAATATTTTTTTTAAAGCAACACATTGTAAAAAATAAATTATACTAAAAACAATAAGGTTTACAAGTTTCAAATTGGATAATTTTTTACAACGACGGATGAAATGCTATTTATTTCTTTTATAGTCAACTCCCCCACACCCACACACACACACACAACAAAATAAAGCTGGAAAAATTTGAAGATAAAGATATAAAACACAAAAATACGATTTAATTTAAATACTAGCTATAGGTGGAGTACAAGAAAACACAATGTCACCCGTGAAAAGGAAGACACAGATTTCCTCTTCTTTAATCCTAATGAAGGCCTCTCCCAAACAGAGGGTGGCATTACATTTAAAGAAAAAAAGTACAACCACTAAAGCACGAAGTACAATAAAGAAACACAAGCAAGATTTTGGAGAGCTACAAAGCCTCCAAAGATCTTCTTCACAATTTTCTTCAAATACATAGATCGATCAGTAGATGAAAGGATCCTTCACCGTCGATCCTTCCAATCTTAGTTCACCCTGAAATACAAAATAAAAACAGTAAAATTTTATTGACAACAGATTTAACACTGCTCATTATGTATATGCCAATAAAAACTATTTCAAAAACAAAAACGGCACCGTCTAAGGTTTGAGTCATGGAGATACAGCTGTTTCTCTCAATTTTGAAACAACATTTTATTTAAATCCAATGAAGACAAGTATATATAGTGTCGCCACGCACAATTGATACACAATAAATGAGACATACAATCGCATTTTTTAAACTATTCTCCAATTTCCCTTTATAAAATCTCAATAAATCCTCAAAAATATATCAACGTACAAAACATGAAAGAAAAATAAAATGCACTTTATTCATATTTTTCTATTCCACGTGAGAACTTATAAAATTTCGGAGTAATTAAAAATAAGTTATAATTTTGAAAAGTAAAAAATGAACTAACTTTGCGCAGTCAATCTTGGGGTTCAGTGCGTATGGGATGCTAACTTTGCAAGCTTTAAGGAGTCCAGTGCCCTTGGCGGCGGCTGCCGGGTTAGCGGCGGCGATCTGCTTCAGGCAGCCGCAAACGGCCTGACGGTCAGGCTTAGATGCAGCCTGAGCTTTCAGTGACGAAATGCCTTGGCAGCAGGCAGGATCCAACGCGCCGCCGCTAATGTAGGACAAGCACTTGCCCAATTTCTGGAACACGGTTCCGCATTGGATAACCGCTTCTGCGTGCGGCGCCAGGATTAGTAATCCCAGCAAACCCACACAGAAGAGCTTGATGAACAATGCAGAGTTGCAAGCCATTGCTGAAATTGATAGGTAAGGAAAATTTTTAGTACAAAAAATGTGGTTGATTTCGTTGAGTTGGGGATGGGAATGAAGTTGAGAGGGAGGGTGAATTTATAGAGGGAATTGGGAATGGGGATAGTGAAAATGGAAGTGGCGTTTTAATTGATTTAGCCAGTTGGTAGTTGAGAATCATTGAAGTTGGCCTTTATGGGTTTTTTTTTTCTTTGAGTTCTTTTCTAGTAGAAAAAAAAACAATAATAAAATGAAAAATAATATATCATAAATAAGTTAAATTTTGAGGAGACAAGTTTTCATAATGCATGAATGGTTTTGGTGCGTGTATTTATTGATGATCTGAAATGGCCCCTCGGCATGTACATTGTTATTAAAGTATATCTCTCATAGAAAAATTTACTCACATATTTACCTAGATACAGAATGAAAGGATTAATCTGAAAATATATATTACTCCCTCCATTCCAAAATAAGTGTCGTTTTAGCAAAATAGAGAAATTTCAAAATGAGAATCGTTTTCGGATTTCAATGCATTTTTTGTCAAAAATTTCCATATATTCCCTCAAAAGAAATAATATTATTAGTGAACATTTATTTTAATGGGGTTACTTGAGGATATTCTAGTAATTTAGCTACCCTATTTAAGTATTTCTTAAACTGTGTGCAAACTCTAGAATGACTCTTATTTTAGTACATATTAAATTTTAAATGAAAATTTAAAGCGAACAATAATTTTTGGACCGAGGGAAAATGTGACAATTTATCATTACTTCATCTTTTCTGTATTAGAAAATTATGGATATTTTATCTCCCATCCTAATATGCTGCATAACCTTTGGGCTGGCAAAATTTTTATTTGGACTGCCTAAAAACTAACAAGCGCGTTGAGCTCTATTTAATACTGCGTTATTATTGTATTTTGGCTATCCATAAATTTGTAAATTGGAAATCACTTGAGAATTCAGTAATTCAGTTGAATTAGTTTACTGGTATATTTTAAATCTACTGGTGTGAAATTAATTAAGTCGCCAAACAGTAATTCAGTTGCTAGGATTGTGATTTTTTTGGTTTGTATTACTGAAATGATCATATTACATTTGTTTTCTTTTGAAAGATAACACGTGACTATTAGCAGATTTTTTTAAAAAGAAATTTTGGTAACACCCTAACAACAAGATAAATTGTTAAAATCAAATTAGAAACATTTGTCAAAATATGATGAGATTGTTGTATAAAAAACATAGCACAAATAGTGTAACTACCAGAGTACTATCTGGTGTGTTCCCGCCTCCCGGATTGGTTTTATCGTTGCTCATTGTCAGTGTTGTGGTTATCCTTCGTATTTTTCTATTGGTTGTAACTAATATTGTTGTATTGTTGAAAAGACTCATTCGTTGCACATACATGACTAGATGTATCCTTCTATATATATCTTAATGTAACTTTATAATGATCATCATTGGTCCATAATACCAAACTTGAGTCTCATTCCTTATCTTCTCATTTCTACGTGCAGATAAAACATGTATTAATATCTCATAAAGTTTTTCCCTAAGCATAACAAACAGAGCCAGCAGGTAAAACAAAGAAAAAAATCAGTAAATCTCAGTCTCCCTTTTGGCTATAGGTTTAAGTAGAATTTTCTTTTTGATTTTTTTTCGCATTGAACACCATAGAAAGATAAAAAGTACCTTGTTTTCATAGCAAGAATGATACGGATCATGACAATTTTAGTGTTTACAAGAAATGCCTTTCTTATTGAAGTCGGAAACATGAGTTAGAACTTCAAAGTACTTTCATTAAGGATATTACTAATGAACATACACAAGAATTGCTCTTAATCGGATCTGTCCTCCATAAATTTAGTACCTGAACAAATATACTAAGAATTTAGGCCCTTTACATAAAAATCTCCAAGCAAAAGGAGGAAATGTTTCCTTCACCACAATCTTTAGTTTCAGCGTTTTTACGACCAACTGGCACTTTTTTCTTGTTCTTTTTTGTCGCTTTCGAATTCTTCTTGGTTATTCTTTTACGGAGTAGTTTGAACTGACTCCTCTAATTGTGATACCCAAGTCTGTTTAAGCATAACCTCTAGAACAAAACTTAGATGGTGTGAAATCGATTAAATTTTGTTCATGAGGATTTTGGTACAATTACGTAGTAAGATTGTTTTTTTTTAGAAATGCTTGTATTAGATTAGGATAATGTTCTTAGGCTATTACAATGGATCCCATAATAACCTATATTATGAATTTCTATTACATCCGACTATTGATTTTAATCAATTCACAATATTCAAACGTATTATAAGAGAGATTAATAGAGGAGCAATTTCTTGCACCTCAATCGAGATTTGTAAATCCCTAAGATGTTTTGTTAAAAATTCACAATCAGTAAACTTTAACATTTGTGATCCCATAATTGGAAGCTTGTTGAATTGCTGATAGACATGTCATCATTTCCGTTTGCAATGGGGATTGAGCCTCAAAGTCTGCCGATCCAATCTGAATAACCATATCAAAGGGAGAGGTGATCTTCCATGCTCCACCTGCTTTGTGAGTGATAAGGTGGAAGGATTCATCAAAGAAGAAAATAGAAGCATTATGATTAGTGGATGGAGTGATGATTTTTGTTTGAGCCACTCTTTTCTGCTTCTGCTGTCTTTTATGAATATTCAATTTTATCTGAATAATCCTCCATACTTCAACAGACGTATTCGTTTGTTACCTCCAAATATTTTCGTTTCTTTCCTTCCAAATATTCCAGATGATGATAAGGAAGTAATCTATATCCTCAGTTGGATTTGTATGAACCTAGGAGACAAATCTATGGAACAAGGGGGCCTACTCCTGTTGTAGCAAATGATTAAATGAGGCGGGAGCTAGATTCCAAATTTCCTTTGATGAAGTGCAGTTGAAGAAGAGATGCAAACCGTCCTCCTCTGATTGATGACATCTGGGACAAATATTAGATACTGGAACTCCTCTTTTGATAAGTTCCGATCTAGTGGAAAGTGCATTGAGTAAAGCTCTCCAAAACAGAGTTTTTAACTTTGGCTGAACTGATAAGTTCCGGAGACGTTTCGAAGCTTTGATTTCTAGAGTATTTGGCAGCTTATTAGATGCATGATGTCGATTATTCAGGGCTATTTGATAACCAATTTTAACCGGGTAAGTACCATGTACTGTATGGAGCCACTGAACTTTATCTGGTTGATTCTCTCTCTCTCTCTCTCTCTCTCTCTCTCTCTCTCTCTCTCTCTCTCTCTCTCTCTCTCTCTCTCTCTCTCTCTCTCTCTCTCTCTCTCTCTCTCTCTCTCTCTCTCTCTCTCTCTCTCTCTCTCTCTCTCTCTCTCTCTCTCTCTCTCTCTCTCTCTCTCTCTCTCTCTCTCTCTCTCTCTCTCTCTCTCTCTCTCTCTCTCTCTCTCTGTCAAGGGGAATGGCAGTACTAAGTAGAAAGAAGGAAGATGGGAAAATATTTTGAAGAAAACCCGTTTCTTCACCCAGAGGGTTGGATGAAGTCTTTAACCTTGAAACTAGCATGTGTTGCCAAGATGGAGTTTTTGCTTATTGGATTACTATGATTGGGGATCCAGTCATCTGAAATACAAGTATCTTTACCAGAAATTACTTTCCATTTTACATTGTTCTGTAGAACCTCCGCTCCCCAGAGAATGCTTTTGAACCCCCAAAATGAATTAGTGGCCGGATGCATTGGTGGAAAAATCTTTTTGGAACAATATTTAGCTTGGTAGATCCCTGAGAGCAATGAATATGGTTTGGACATTATTTTCCAAGCATGTTTTGCAAGGAGGGCTTGATTAAATTTCTTAGTGACCTTTAAACCAAGACCTCCATGGAATTGAGACTTCGTAACTTTTTCCAAGCTCTCCAATGAATTTTATTTTCTTGCAAATCACCTTTCCAGACAAAATTCCCTATAATGTTGTCCGCCTTTTGTAGAAGCTGGCAATTTAAAAACTCCCTTAAGATATACAAGCATGGAAGACAATGTAGATTTTGCCAGAGTAATGCGTCCAAATAGAGATAATAGCCTAGTTGTCCAATCTGCAAACTTAGATGATAGTTTGGCAGTGAATTGCTCAAAAATATCCTTCTTCTTCTCATTAAAATCTAGGTTGACACGCAGATACTTACTCTCGAACTGGCATGGAGGCATTTTAAGTGTGGAATGTAAGAATGCTTTCATAGTTGATGAAGTATTGGACTACTCATGATTGATTATTTATGAAAGTTGACCTTTTGACACGAAAATGTTGAATAGATGTCAATCAATCCAGCAAGTGCTAGTATAGATTCTTCCGTACATTCCACAAAAGAACAAGCTATCATCCGCATACATGAGCTGACTTATACAAGGAGAATTTCAACTGATCTTGGCACCCAATCCTGGGAAGGATTGTATTTCTGTTCTTATAGCAGAAGAAAGAACCTGTTGACATAATATAAACAAATAAGGAGAAAGAGGAAAACCTTGATGTAAACCCCTGGTTGGTGAGAAGAATGGGAGCCCTTCACCCTTTAGTTGGATAGAATAAGTAACCGTTGAAACACAGAGGATGATGAAGGCAATGAGCTAAGTTGGAAATTTTTCCTTAATGAGAACTTGATATAAAAATGGCCAAGATACACGATCATATGCCTTGCTCGTATCCAATTTGATAGCAGCTAATCCCAGTGGACTGTCTTTCTTCCTTATATTTCTACCACTTCATGAGCTAACAAGATAATCTCAGTGATATTCTGATCCGAGACAAAACCATTTTGATTTTCATCAATTAGGTCATTCATCATGGGCTTAAGGCGATTGGAAATCATCTTAGTAATGATTTTGTATTTGACATTGCAAAGGCTAATGGGGCGAAAGTCACTTGGTGTAGCCAGATTTTTGTTCTTTGGAATGAGCACCACCTGAGTTTAATTCCATTCTGGTGGGAAGGTTTGAGAAGACATTACTTCCAAAATGGTTTGGGAGACATGAGCGTCAATGGTAGATCTATACTTCTGGTAAAAACTCGCAGGGATTCCATCAGGCCCTGGAGATTTCCTAGGAGTCATTTGATGGATGGCAACCCAAACTTCTTGTCTAGAATAGGTCTTGCAAGGGATGTGATTTGATCCAGAGAGAGTACCTCATCAACATTGTTAAGTAGACTATGCAAGTATGGAGAGTGTTCATCAAACCTGTGGGGGTCATGAGAGTTGAATAAATCTGAGAAGTGATCCATCAATAGGTCACCTAACTGCTTTCCATTCTGGATCCAGATTCCTTGAGGATTCTTCAATTCTGTGATCCATTTATTTCCTTTCCTTCTTGCTGCTCATTTGTGATAGAACTTAGAGTTACAATCCCCTTGAGGTGACTAAGACAATGTTTTGCTCGTTGTTTCCAATAATCTTGTTGATAATTCAATGCATCTTCCAGATTGTCTCTGTATACTTCTAACTGCTGACTAAGATAACCATTTGACCTATCTTGTTCCTATAACTGTTGGGTACGTAGTCATTAGTTGTGCAGACATCTTCTTCACATAAGAGTCAATCTAGCCAAATCTCCCTTCACTCCAACTATGAAGATTAGTGAGACTCTGGTCTAATTTGTAAGACAGTATCTCAGGTTTGCTATCAATCTTAAGAGGGGTGCAATCCAGGCTTGAGACACTAAATTATTTGATTGTGAACAGGATGACCAGAATTGTTCAAAATGAATTTTAAGCTTCCGTTTCTTTAATCCCTAAAGTTCAATGACTATAGGTCCATCATCAGAATGTAGAATTGGTAGATTCTCATAATAACATATCTAAAATACTCTAACCATTGTGGATTGGCAAATGCTCAATCCAGTTGTTCAAATATTGTGTCATTACCTTGCCTTTTGTTAGACCAGGTAAACCAGCATCCTAGATGCCGCAATTCGTCAAGACTATTGTTGATCAATAGTTGTTGAAGAGATCTTGTATCCAACTCTGTAACTTGATGGCCACCATAATTGTCTTCCTTGTTAACTACTTGGTTAAAATCTCCTAAAACGACACAGGGGAGATACAAAGCAGAAATGGTGTTGTTTAGCTGATTCCAAACTTCGATTAGACCTTGTGCAAAAGGCAAACCATACAAAAATACAGCCACCCAATCAAAACCTATTGCCTTAGTAATTTTGGCAACAATGAAGTTAGATGATTGGGATAAAACTATGAGCTGAACACCACCACACCAAAAGAGGGCTAATCCGCCACTAAGCCCTACTGAATCTACAACTAAGGAGTGCTTAAAAACAAAAGCCTGTTGCCAGGCTGAAACCAAACTAGTACTAGCTTTTGTTTCTATCAGGAACAAAATATTAGGTTTGTACTGATTAACTACCCTATTTATTACATGCTTTGTGGAGGCGTTATTCATGCCTCGACAATTCCAGGAGATGATACTCATTTTGGTGAAGGCAGTTGTTTTGGTTCAACCACTGCAACACCATTAAGAGAATTGGAATCCTGAGCTTGACTCTAGGCCTGGAGACTGAATGAGAAAACGGGTAAAGCTGCATCACAGCTTCGTTTCTTCATCTTCGTGGGTAATTCTGCTTCTGAGTCATCAGAATGACGTTTCTGGCTATCAATCTGTTCAACAGTGACAGACTCTGACTCATCTTCATCATCACTTTCGACCTTCATACGCCATCCTCCTTGTGAATGAGCTTTGGTTCTTGACTGAGCCTTATTCAATACTAAAAACTTGGGGCGGGCTGGGATCTCTGCTTCTAATTGTGCCTTCTTAACCTTCATACAGAAGGAGTTGCAACTGGATTGAGTATCAGTGCCAACATCAATAGCATTTGAACTCTTCTTCTTTGCCATTCCATGTCTGTGAGCTTTTGGTTTCTGAATTCTCTTGGATCTGCATTTCAGAGAAGCACCAGCAAAGCCTTTCTTCACAGAGTGGGCAGCAAAATCTCCTTCATCAGAAGAAGCATAGTATGCCATATCCCTTTCTAACTGACAAATTACAATATCATCATTCCTAGCAGGAGAAGTACTTATATTGTGTATTGGTGGAGAGGATAAGCTACTAGATTCAGAATAAGAGAATTCAGCAAAAATAAATGGGCAAAAAACATTCTCCGGAGAACTGTTATCAGAGGGTGGAAAATCATTCACAATAGGGATGAAAACAAATGGCACAACAGAAGCCCCACTGGAATTATCAAACATGCTATATATATATATATATATATATATCATTAACATTAACTAGGGGTGGTGATTTTGGAATAAAGTAGAAAGAGCTGGGCATAAAAGTACCTGAGGATTCCCTTTGCAGTAAATTGGGACTATCATAGTGGAAGTGAGAGGGAGAAGAATGAAAACTACCTTCATCCTCTGATTGCATTAGATTAGGATCTTCCTCTTCCTCTACTGCTGGTGCCGCCCTTCTATCTGGATCATGGTATCAATTGGGGTACACTTGTCTGAGAAAATGAGCCACTGGTGGTAAATTGGAGTCATCATTGTTTGCTGGTAGATTGGGGGGCGAGGGGAGGGGCTATGATGACCCTTCTTTGGCGGATTCTGATCTCCATTATGGTGCTGATCATCATCATCAGCGAAATCATCATTGGCATAATCATCATTACCGACCGGGTCGTGAAGAGGCTGCCACATATAAACATCAGGTTCTTCTAGCTCTGTAATAGTAAATACATCTTGAATAAGATGCTCCGGCACTGTTTCATAGTAATCGCGTATTTGTAAATATTTATATGTGCGCATTCTGGTACATCTCTTTTTCTTGTTACCATTGGCCCTCAGAGAAGCTAGAAACAGAGGCCTGATGCCATCAATTAACAATGGAGAGTTCTGTCTGATGGCCTTCTGGAGGAAGTAATTTGTCCAGGAAGTGTTCTTTCAGTGTTGGATACCATACGACTTTTTTTGACAAGGATGGCCTAGCCTTCACAAGCACTTGCAAAATTTATGAACATTCTCAAAACGACAACTGATTTTTGCATGCCTACCATTTCCTTTTGTAATATGAAAATAAGGAGTCAGGGGATCTGTAATCTGATCCATACCTTAGCACGGACATACGTGGCCTTACGGAGGGAAACACAATCCTCCTTGACAAGAGCTATGTGTCTCACTCTCTTTGCTAGATCTCGAGCACGAGCATAGTTCAACAAACTGATTGGAACTCCATGCGTTCTGACCCAGACACTAAACTTGTCAATTCTAATACTATCCAAAGCTAGATCTTCATCATCATAGTAACGGCGAAGCACTAGAAGACCACCTTCAACGACATAAGGTTGATTATCAAGGATAGTGAGCAGATATTCTCAGCAACGGAACTTAATGATGAAGAAGTTCCTATCGTAGTGGAGGATGCGAGCATTCATGGGCCAGTACTCATTGATATAGCTTTGCATGCGGACATCATCAAATTCCCTATCATCAAAGAGATACACCAACAAAGAAGATGTCAATTATGCCTTAAGATCCATGTGTGCTCACCAGTAATCTGTATATTAGTAGTACGCATATGAGAAGTTGTAATAAGTTCAGAGTGTGGACATCAATTCCTAGTTGGAAGTCATATCTTTCCTCAGAAAATTCAGATCTAGCCATAGACATGGCTGTAACTGAATCTTCTGCCTTTGCATGGCGATGAGTCATTGTGTATTAGTAGATCTACCAACTAGAGGAAATTCTAAGGGAAATAAAAGGTTTGCAGCTTTGAAGCAGTGAAAACGGAAAGGCTAAAGGAGATTGCAGTTGTAGAATAGAGTTATATTAATAACAAAGAAAACAAAGAAGAGATTTTGTGGGTTCCTAGGAGGAATATAACTGGATTTCAGAGGAAAATATGTAGGCATATTTAGGGGGTTTGGCATAGAAAAGGCAGGAAAAGTTTTTGAAAAAAACCATGAATACTTGGAAAGTTAAAAGGGCAAGAACGAGGCTGGAAAGGAATTGGAAAGTTGGATCTATGTAGTAAGATTGTTGTTTGTTAAACTAAAACCAAATAGAAAATCAAATTACTCAGCACTCTCTCAATCCCCAAAAAACAGACTACTCTATTGCATTATTTTACTTTAATACTCCCTCCATTCACAAATAGATGTCGCTGGAGAGATTTCACAAAGTTTAAGGAGGCAATAATTATCTTGTTAAAATACTATAATACCCTTATTTATTCTTAATTCAATTGTAGTCCCAATAAAATTCACTTCTAATACAATTCTACATTAAACATCACAACAATTTCCAAGGTAAGGGTGATATTGGAAAAAATTGACAAAATATGCCTCAATTTGTGAGAACGACATCTATTTTGGAATATTTGAGTTTTCCTCCAACGACATCTATTTGTGAATGGAGGGAGTATATTAGTTTTGTTTTTCTGCGACACAAGAAATTTGATATAGTACTAATACATGCAGTATGGTTCTAGGTGGGATAAACTAATCATAAATTTGAGTTTGGGAACTTTTGTACATTGACAAATTGTGTAATTGCTAATGCTGCATTCCTTCCAAGTAGTAGTATATCCTTCTCCAATCTATAAATCAATATGGAAATCATTTAGGCATCCCCAATGATTTCATTATATAATACACTTCATTTAAAATCTATATTCTTTGTATTCATATATTTGGAGGCTCAACCTGCCTTGATAAATAAATGAACCCAGGTAATTAGAAACAGATAATAATGTGTATGAAAAAATCACACAGATACTTTATATTAAGTAGAAGAGTACATAAAAAACACAGGGTCACAAATAGAATTGCGACATTAGTTTTTCTTTTTTAACCTAAAGTCGCCTCAAAAACAAAGGGTGGCCAAAGTGGAAGATTTACAAGAGTAAACTTAAAGATTAAAATCTAACTAAGCACAACCACAAAAATACAAAGTAAAACACAAAATAATTAAGAACACACTATTGGAAATCTACAAAGCCTCCAATTAATGGTCTTCTTCGTTGTTCATACTTGATAGCATATATTTTTTCTTAAAGAGGAGTGATACGTTGTAACGGCCAGCTACTAGATCTGTTCCAATAATTATTTGTGTGTTCGTTCTCGCTATACTCAAATTGGTTAACCCAAGTCTCAAGCAGCTGAGCTTTATATACATGTTGTCTCTTACGTGCGAGCTCAGAGGTGGGTCCGCACCCAGACTAGGTCGACTCTGATAACAATTGTAACTCCCTAACGATTATGTCTGTCTCAATAACTATTTGGGTGTTCATCCTCGCTGTACTCAAAATGGTTAACCCAAGTTATTAATAAATCAGGCAGCTGAGCTTTATATACAAGTTATCTCCTCTATATATTTTTCTTTCAAATTTGCTCTGCTCCAATCGTTACTATTTCTTAAAATAGGTAGGTAGTGTATTCTTCACCCTCCTTGAGAGTTTAGTTTATCCTGAAATACAAAATCAAAAAAAAAAAACAAAAAAAAGAAGAAAAGAAGTAAAACTTTAAAATTAAGACATTTACTGCTGATCAATAACTCGTAATTTGAGTACACATTGTCGCCATCTAAAGTTTGAATCATGGACATAAAGGTGTTTGTCCTATTAGTGAAACAACACCAACATTTACAAAGATTGAATACCATATTATGCATAAATGAGATAGATGAACGTGTTCATTGAATTAAATTTAAATGATCATTTTGGTTTATTTCTCACTAAATGAGAAAAACTTCATAGCGTGTTTTGTGTAACTACATAAAAATACAATAAAATCATAATGACTCCTTCCGTCCAAAAACAAAAGAAAAAAGTCGATTATGTTATCAAACTCAAAAAGTACAATGACAATAAATCATTTTTCTGAGATGGAAAAACATTTGAAAATAGAGAAATCTTACGTGGCGCAGTTGATGTTAGGGTTGAGTGCGTAGGGGATGCTAACACCGCATTGTCTAAGAATTCTGGGGGCCCTGGCAAGCACTTTCGCCTTGGCAATGCGCTCAAGGCAACGACAAACCGCCTGACGGTCAGCCTTTGTCGCCGCCGAGGCTTTCAAAGCCTTAATGTTAGAACAACATATGCGAGTCAACGGGCCGCCACGAATGTAAAGAGTACACGGCATCAATATGTTGTTCACGGTGCCACAACCGATAACTGCTTCCGCGTGAGGTGCCAGGATTAATAATCCCAGCAAAATCACACAGAAGAGCTTGATGAGCAATGTAGATTTGCTACCCATAGTCGTAGTTGTAGTTAAAAAGAGCTTCAAGTAAAGAAAAGTAGTATATAAAATGTGATTGGTTTTCAGTTGAGGAAACGTGGATAAGGATGAAGTTGGATTGGTGGGGAATATATAGATCGAATTTGGAAGGTGTTTGTTTAATGATTTGGCCAGTTGGTAGTTGAGTCTTAGTCATGACGACGGCCTTTAAAGCCGATTTTCTTTGTGCTCTTTCTACTCTTTTTTTTCCCCCGGGAAAAAAGTAGCAAGAACAAAAATAAAATGGGAAGGATCGGTATTGTTTCATATGGAGGAAGGAATGAATATGTATGTGTTTACTTTAATTGGTGTGTTAGAGTATATAGTAAAGTAGTCAACATTTCTCATACTAATTTTGTTATGGTTCTTCCCCGCCCCCCTCCCCCCCTTCCTCCTTCGACTTTGAATGAAATGATTCTCTTAAATATTTTTTCTTTAAAAGATATGATTCAAAATGATCATAGCTTATAAATCGTAAAAATAACTAGTCATAATCGTTCAAAAATAATATTCTTTGTTGTAAAAAATAACTAGTCTTTTAGCACAAACATAAAACCTAAGTATGTAGGTATTGTTTTTATGCGATTGTCGGTGTGTATATGAACACTTTTTTAAAGTGAGAAGTTCAGTACAAATTGATAGTTGTCTTAATATTATCAAGATTTAATTACTACAAAAGTCACAAAAAGTTGCCTACCATATTCATTCAAAATTATAAAGTTGAAATGTCATCAAGTACCCCAAGAAGATTAATTTTATTTTTTATCACTTTTCCGTCAAGATTCAATCAAAAAGTAACGGTCAATTGTTTAAGACGTTGACTTATTAAAAGGATAATTTCTTTTTTTAGAAATTTTTTCTTTTAAATTATGTAGTTGCAAAACCTAAAACTTTGGTTCTCCCTCGTCACCTTTTTTCTTCCTTCCTTCTCCACTTCTCTACGCTGTAGCCGCAGTCGCCACCAATACCGCCACCACCTCCATCTCCACCACCCAAGAAAGAACCAATTCTAAAATATAAAAATAATAAAGTAATGTTAGATTTAAAAAATTCACTGTCACAAGATGTTGGATTACATCATAAAGCTATTTTTTTTACTCTTCTCTTTCAATCTAATCCAGAATTTTCAAATGGTTCCAGCAATCAGAGCGGAAGTTGGGGCTGATTTCAATTTCTATACTCAGCAGCAGCCATTTTAGGGTAATATTCTGGCCGTCAAAGGATGAAGTATACAGAAAACACCATGGCTGCAGCCACAACGGAATCCGTTCAATGTTTCGGCCGGGAAAAGATGGTGGTAGCTGTTACCCAATGCGAGCGAGGCCGTGGCCTGAGCGAGATCAATGGCGTTCCCATCGAGCTAGTCCAACCTAAAATCCTCCTTACACGGCTTTTGAACCAATTCTACTCCTCGACCGCCACCGCTTTGCCAGAGTTGACATGCGCATCTGCGTGAAAGGAGGTGGTCATACCTCCCTGATCTATGCCATCCGTCAGTCAATTGCAAAGGCCCTTGTTGCTTTCTACCAGAAGTACATGGACGAGCTGTCGAAGAAGGAGATTAGGGACATTCTTGTTCGATATGACAAGATTTTGAGCAAGCCTTATGTTTTGGATTTTTGAAAATTGTGTTAATTTCGTGTTGGCAAATGATGCCATTACAACAATCGTGAACTTTAGATTCTGAAAGAAAGGCGGAGTCAGGCCAATTTGGTGATTCTAAGCTTCCTCTGTTTTGGCCGGTAAGTTTTGTTGTTTAGGCTAGAAACTAGAATCAGGAAACTCCCTCTCAAGGCTTAAAATCCACAAAAAAAAAAAAAAATAGCATCTTAGGATTTTCAATTGTTTTGGATGACTTGAGCAGATTGGTGAAGTATTTGTTGTCAATCAGATGTCTCCATGATCTTGATAAGCATTTAAATCTTAACAGTGATTTTTCCGGTAACTTGAGAAGTACTTCTAGTATTATAAGTTCGGGAAGTTGGTCGGGAAATTGTCCGTGGCTGGTGGACGTGGTGGATGGGAAGACTGTTATGAATCAATGAACGAAGCAATTTTTAATTTTATTTTTTTGTAAAAGGAATGAAGCAATTTCGATTTCATAAAAAAAATAACTGAAACAATTTTGAGGGAAAATTGGGGAATGAATTACTGCCGCTGAATAGTTGATTAATTAAGTAGTTGTTTTCTTCTTAGTTAGTTGATTAATTATGTCGCTCTGATGTTAAAAATTTTATGGGTAGTTATTTCAAAAAAGTAACATTTTAAATAATAATAAAAAAAGAATACTACTGTATTTTTATTATTTTTTTGGGGTGAAACAATACTTTAATTTTTAGTTTGAAAAGAAATATAAGAGTTACAAATTAGGAAAAATTGTGTAGTGCAGTTTGCAATTTTAATAGCACCATACAATCATATGATAACCAATTAAAGATTGACACTTGTATGCGAATTAAAGAAAGTTTCCTAATTAACAAGGTCAACAGGTCATTTTGAACGGATAAAATACTAAGATAGCCTATGCAATGGCTTAAGCCATGGCCTAAACCATGGCATGGTTTAGGCCATGGCTTCCATTGTTTTTTTTTTGTTTTTTTAATTAAATGTAGCAATATTTCTATTAAAAAATAGATTTTAATACATTATATGTTATGTGATAAGATGTGAATTTTAGTTTCTTATGAGATATATGGGTAGCACTCTGCAATTGTTTTGTACTCCTTCCGTTCCGAATTAAGTGTCGTTTTAGCAAAAAGAAAAATTTTTAAAATAACTGTCGTTTTCACATTTTAATACACTTTTTGTCCAAAGTTTTCAAAATTACCCTTGAAAGAATTAATATTATTGGTGGATATTTTTTTAATGGGGTTTGTTGAGGATATTCAAATAATTTTATTACCCTATTTAAGAGTTTCTTAAACTATGTGCAAAGTGTAGGACGACACTTATTTTGGAATGGAGGGAGTATAATACTAGTGTCATAGTTTTTACGTATAACATAGTACTATGTTTAATGTCATGACATATGGGCGGAAGTATTAATATTGAAAAGTTTAAAAAATATTTTTACAAAGTATGCTAAAGAATTCAAAGTAATTTATAGCTGAACATCAATAAGGAATACCCAAATATAATATTTTCTTAAAAATAAATGTAATGAATCTTTTTAAATTTATTATATGATAAATGACTTGATTACATGAAGCTCCAATGTAATGATAAAGATATGTACAATTACCTCAACTACAAATTATGTTTGACATCATGGATATAGTAATATGTGTATATTTTTGATAGATATATAATTAAAATACGTCAAAATACTTATTTCAATGGCCTATGATTTGAAAATAGAATGAGTACTATAGAATTGGTTTAACTGGTGTTAAGGCTAGGTTAGATTCAAATAGATTTTCCGTTGTAGTGCATGGATCATATAAGCCATCAAAACTCTTGGGGTCTATTTCTTTTAGAACAATAAAGGTCACTTTATCTAAGGTTGTGTAGAGTGTAACTATTTTTTTTTTTTTTTTTTTCAAATAACCAATATATTTCTTATATAACAATGTTAGGTCTTATGCACCATTACTTATATAACAGTCTAGTAAGCTAAAATCCTCAATATCACCACCCTCCGTAAGCTTTAAATTTCACAACAAACCACTGCTAGCAGTTGAAATATTTTTACATAATTTTTTTTTATCGTTGCTAATGTTCATTCCCTCGAAAGGTCAAGATGACTTAGATCATTTATAGAAAAGGTTTTGCAAATTTGACACTATTTGAAAGCATATATCTATCAGATTTAGTTGAATTCCACTTGAAAACTGACTCATAGGTACTTCTGTTGAAGACCAAGTCTTCAATGATTCACCCTCAATTATTCTTCTACTAATATTCTTATTATTTATTTCCTTTTTAGCACCATTATTATTATTATTATTATTAAAATTATTATTATTATTATTATTATTATTATTATTCGTGTTGTTTTCAATAAAATGTTATGTCAGTTGTATCAACACAAGTCCAAATACGTTGGCGGCTGAAGATGCTAATTTCCATAATTTCGCTCGAGCTGTCGTGTTTCTATCTGAATCAGGAAAACTTCCTCCTCTAACTATTTGTCTACTTGGCCATCATCGTCATCAAAGATCTGACATCATCATCATCGATGAATTAAAGTTTTTTTTTTAATGTTTTAAGTAATAGCACAATTGCCATACCATATGTCATGGCATTGAATTAATGTAAACAAAATTATGTCAAAGTTATGACTTGAGCCATGGCATTATGTAATTTGTTAAATAGTTAAAATTGAGATGTATTACCGGTTCTCTATTTATAGCTTGGAGGGTCACGATTCTTTTTTTTTTTTAAATCCAAGGGTTATTATAAATCTAACAGCATCATGCAATTAAAATCACAAAAGGCACTATAGTCGTTTTCGTAAATTAGATTAAAAGACAAAAATCTTAAAAAGATAAAATTACCCTTTTATTAAGTTAATATCTTAAATAGTTGACCGTTACTCTTTTGACGGAATCTTGATGGTAAACTGATAAAAAACAAACTTAATCTTTCTGGGGGCACTTAAAGACATTTTAACTTTATAGTTTTGAATGAATATAGTAGACAATTTTTTGGAACTTTTGTGGTAATTAATTTTATTAATCAATGTGGGAAAAAAAAGGTTAAGAAAAGAGTGTAATAAAATTATGAAATACTCTATAGAGAACTTATATTTGTCTCGGACTGAATTACTTGACAAAGTACAACTTTAGGGTTCCTTCACAAATAAATTATTGATAAGGCACGAAACCGAAATAATACATCTGAACTAGAAAAGATGTAAACGAAGCTGAAAATTGTAAATTTTGATACCGATATAAATATATTTTACTGAATTGGTGCTTTTGTAAAGAATCACACGTGTCATCAGGACTATCTATTAACTTGGCTAGTCACACAACAGCATGAAGGAAGTTTTTTATCTAGAGTTGAAGCATTAAAATTTCGATATAAATGATGATTAAAATAGATTGAAGTACTTTGATATAATTTTGTCTCTTAAGAGATATCTATCCTACTTATTGTTTAAAATACAGGTAACAGTGTAATTATCCAAAAATGAGAAAAAAAGAATAAAGAGAGAATAAAAGAGATTTAAATTAATAAGTTTTACTTGTCTTATAGAGTATTTTTTCCATTGTTTTATAAATCACTCTATACGTTGTACGTGAATTAAAGAGATAACCATTCAATAATTAATTTCTTTGTAAAATATTTGTTTTACCCCTCATAAATTGTTTTGAAACTATAAACTACATTTACTAATTAGGAAGTTAACATCATTAATTTACCTTGAAATCCTCAAAACAACCTACATATCTCGAAATATTTCTCAAAACTTAAAAATGACTTATAAAAAGAAATGGAAGGAGTATCATTATGGTTTTTTCGTATAGTATCCATTAATAGTTAGTGTCTAAAGTTTATATTACCTCCATCCTAAAACACAGACAAATACAGTCTATGAGGTTTTAGTAGTTTTTTCTATGGAGTAAATACATTTTATTACTTATAAACTGATCATTTTTTTAAAAAATATAAATATTTCATTAGATTTGCTGAAATTCAGCCAACTCGGAATGATACAAGAAACTTAGCAAAGATGTCCAAGTTTTTGTGGTTGAAACGTAATAATTAGCATGGGCAGCAATGGCATGAGCTACTCCATTTTTTACACCGGGAATCCAGTATAAAGCTGAAAAAGATAACTCTGTTAATAAAACTCTAATTATCTCCAAAAGAGTTGTTAAACATATATACTTGAGCAACGGTTTCTCAGGTGAGGTGTAAATAAGTGGCACCTTTGACTGTTGACGGTCAAAATCGACCTCAAGGTTGTGTGGAGTAAATGCACAATAAGGGGTCGGCCGACAGCAGATCATGTTGAAGTGCACGATTTAGTTGTAACTAGTTATTGTACTGGTATTGAAGAAATAAAATGCCTTTTATTCCCAATACTTTGTTTTTTTTGTTCTCTTTCTCCGCAGGCCAAATCTACTGGCCCAGAACAAATTTACTGGTGAACAAGATAGTCTAAACGAGTTAATTTTGTGGGGATCTCTTCTTTCTGTGGTATGAGGTCTATTTTATTTTTCTTCATATTTTACATTTCTAATGCATAGTAGTAGTAGTAATAATGTTACGGTTCACATTGAACACTTGTAAAGATAAAAATGACCTTACTTTCATGGCAAGAATGATACTGTTCAAAACAATTAATAGAAACACAATAATAGATTTAAAAATTAAAATCTTAATAAATGTACAAATTCTAAAACAACAGATAAAAAGAAACGGGGTATTATGTTTGAATTGATTCCTCTCGATGGGATATCCAAGTCTGTTTTGAGCGTAACCTTTTCTTAGAACAGAACGAAGATGGTGTGGAATTGGTTAAATTTTGTTCGCGGATTTTGGGATGATTACGTGCTACCTCTGTGTGAAGAAAATAATGTGAATTGAATTTTCAGATTTACTACAAATTTCAAAATTTAACGTGAGTAGTCTTTCATTCCAAAAAAAAGTAAACTTTGTTTTGTTGTACGCAGTACTAGTTTAGTTTAATAAACTAATATATTATTATTATTCCGATTTTTGTTTTTGGCAACGAAAGAAATTTGAAATAGTAATACAAAATGGCTCTACGTGTGGGATGAACAAATCAGTGATAAATTTGGGGGAGGGGACTCTTGTCCGTTGGGAAATCGTGTAATTCCTATGTTCCTACAAACTCTATGCTTATCCAATTTATAAATCAATTCATAAATCAATTACAGGGCATCCCTTACGTTTTAATTTTTTACATTTCATTTATAATAGTCATATATTTGGAGGCTCAGCAGACAGCAATACATAGACAAAACTAGAAAATTAGGAACAGAAAAAAATAGGTGTACGAAAATCACATAGATATTTTATTAAGTGGAGTACATAAAACCACAGGGTCACCAATAGAATAGTGACACTAGTTTTTTTTTTTTTTTTCTTTTAACCTAAAACCGTCTCCCAAAAAAAGGGAGGCTTAAGATTAAAAGCTAAAAGTACAACCACAAAAACACAAAGTAAGAACACACTATTGGAGATCTACGTACAAAGCCTCCAATTAGTGGTATTCTTCATAGTTCATATTTAATAGTTCGTAATTTTTCTTAAAATAGATAGATAGTGTATCCTTCACCCTCCTTCAAAGCTTAGTTCACCCTGAAATACAAAACAGAAAAACATGAAAATTTCAACAATAAGATATATTTCGGATCAATGACTATTAACTTTATATATCAATTGTCGCCATATAAGATTTCAATTACGGGCATAAAGTAGTTTGTCTCATTGGTGTAACAACGCTATCACTTACAAACACTAAACATCATATCACGCACTAAAGGAGAAAGATGATTGTATTTAGTCAATCATGTTTAAGTGATCATTTTGATTTATTTCTTACTACATGAAAAAAGTTCATTTCATGTTTTCTACCACTGCATAAAAAAAATTTATAAACAGTACTCTTTCCATGCCCCACAAAAAAAAGGTAATTAAAAAGATTATTCAACTTCATTAAACTGAAATAATCTAATAAACTTAAATTATTTTTTTAAAACAAAGGAAGTATTTCAGAAGATATTTGAAAGTAGAGAAATCTTACGTGGCGCAGTTGATCTTAGGGTTGAGTGCGTATGGGATGCTAACGCCGCATTGCTTAAGAAGTCCAGGGGCCTTGGCAACAGCTTGCTTGTTCCCGGCAAGACCCTTAAGGCAACCACAGACCACCTGACGGTCGGCCTTTGTCGCCGCCGCGGCTTTCAAAGCCTTAATGTTAAAGCAGCACTTGGGATTCAAAGGCTGACCGCCAATGTAGCTCAAACACGGCGCCAAGCTGCTGGCCACAGTGCCACAACTGATAGCTGCTTCAGCGTGGGGTGCCAGGATCAGTAATCCCAGTAGACCCATGCAGAAGAGCTTGATGAGCAATGCAGAGTTGCTAGCCATAATAGTAGTTTGTAGCTTGAACTTGAAGGTGAAGAAATGTAGTATGCAAAGATGTGGTTGATTTTTCAGTTGTGGAAATGTGGATGAGAATGAAGTTGGAATGGTTGGGGGAATTTATAGAGGGAATTCGGAAGTGTTCGTTTAATAATTTGGCTGGTTGGTAGTTGAGTCTTAATGACGACGGCCTTTATAAGCCAATTTTTCGTTGTGTTCTTTCTATTTATTAATTTTTTTTTTGAAAAAAAAAACAGCATTTTGTAAAATAAAAAGAAAATGAGAAGGATCGATGTTGTTTCATATATATGCACGAAGAAATGGGGTACGTGTACACATTTATTGATGATGTGAGAGTATATAAGAAAGTAGTCAATAGTTTTCATGAGTGAGGTGCCCAACCTTCGCGTTGGGGTCTAATTTTTGTAAGTTTTTTTACTTCTACTTTTACAAAAGTAAATAAATAAATAAAGACCCGAAATGGCCACAGCACGGCGAAGAATGGCGAGGTTTTTGTTGTGGTTTTATTGTTGTCTTTTTTTTTTTTTTCTTTTGGCAGATGAATGGCGAGGTTTTGATGGGTAATATACATAAATCGTCGAAATAACGAATCATATAGTTGTAGAAAACATAATATATATATATATACAAGTACCTACGTAGGTACGATTTTTTTAGGATTGTCGGTGTGTTTTTCAACCCTTTTTTAAAGTGTATGTTGATAATTGACTTATTATTAATGTGAAAAAAAAAAGTTAAAAAGAGTGTAAAAATTTATTGTATCACAGAGTAACGACAACCGTAGATTGATAAGACAATGAAGAAGTACAGTGTACTACTCTCTGACCTCTCTTCATGAGCCTCTTAGATGCTGTTGGATTCTTCTTGAAGCAGTTTAAGAGGTTAAAAGAAGATAAAAAGTTTGTTCATCTGATTTCATCGATAAATTTAAGTTTGAGAGATTGTTGCTCTAAATTGTTGCTCTTTGATAATATCCTGTAATGTACAACGTTTGCACAGGAATGCTTTAATCATACTACCGGAAAGATTAGCGTTCGTTAATTATGAATAGGGTCAAATTTGGTTTATAGGTAATAATTATTTGTCAACGTTAGCTTCTCAAGGATCGGGCAAAATACAAAGGTCAAAACCTCCGCTGACAGGCGTTTCGATATGACTTTATCATAATATTATATATGGGGTATCGTATCCTCGAAATGTAATTGTTAAAACATGAGTTTCTTTTTTTGTAAAAAAAATAAAAAAAAAATTGGTTTATATGTGATAATTATTTATCAAATAGTATGAAAAGAGTATAGAGTATTATCTTTCCAAAGCAACTTTTATTTGTCTCATACTGAATTACTTGAGTGACTGAGTGAATATACATAACTTTAGGGTTCCTACATAAATTATGGATAAGTATACACATCTTAATGGAAAAAGTAAAAGAAGCTAAAAAGTGTATATTTTGATAGCACCATAGAAATATATTTCACGGAATTTCGGGGATTTTTTTTTTAGAATATGTTGGCCCGGTATTCCCCTCAATTGGGCCAACAAGGAAACAAAGGAAACAAAACCCACTCCAATTGGATTTTTGTTTTTAGGTTTTTTTTGCTCTATAAAAGCAAGGCTTTGGCATAATTTTTGTGTATGTGTTTTCAGCCAAGAAGAGAAGAAAAGTTTGGGCAGTCGTGCATTATTTTCGTACGAGAGAAAAAAGAAAGAAAGTTAGGGTTTAGTTTTCGGTTTAGCTCTCTTTTGGTTAGATCCCTCCAGTCCTACTTTGTGATAGGTGTGTGTGGAAAAATATTGTTGTAATCCACCTTTGGGTGAAGTCCTGTGTATCCACTGGTTGGTGAAGACTGTTTTTCCATTATTGTGATAGTGGAGATTTGACTGTTGTTACAGTCCCGTGGTTTTTTCCGATTTAGGTTTCCACGTAAATTCGTGTGCCTCTTTTATTTTATCGGTTCTTAAATTAGTTGCTTGTTTGGGTGGTTGTCCTATTTTATTGGTAGTAGGAAAGGAGATTTTCTTGGAGTGCGCTTCCGCAGTATGTTGTGTTTATACCTTTTCCGCCACAACAGAATCACACAAGCACTAGGACATCATTTTTTCAAAGAGAGTGTCCAAATGGAGAATGAGGTCGTCTACTTGCTTAATTGATTCACCACAAACCAGTATGATGGAAATTTTTTATATAAAGATTTAAAGAATCAAAATTTCATTATAAATGATGATTAAAATAGAATGAATTACTTGTTAGTAAATTTGGTTTATTGAGAAAGATCTATCATACTTGTTTTAGAATATTATCCGATACGGTAATTTAAGTGTGTAGATGAACTTAGAAATGAAAGAGAAAGAAATTTAAATTAATATTACGGTCAAGTAATAATGTCTAATGTTTTATACCCCCTCATTTCGAAAACTAAATAAGGACAAAGTGTCGGGACAAAAGAATCCCACATTATTTTCGTAAAGGATCTGTGATATGTTTAAAAATTTCAAAGTCCACCCCACTCATAGCCGGTTTTGAGATGGGAGTCTAAAGTGACTTTTGACATGGTATCAGAACCCACGATCTGTGGACCTGTGATAACTAAGGACCTGTGTATGCGGATTTGTAGACTGACCCGGTAGAATATCTGGAGTGTGGACCTGTGTGTACGGATTTGTTAACCGACCCGGCAGTATATTCGGAGTAATGACTGACCCAATAAGTCAAATGCCTCATTGGGCTTGAGAGAATGTCTTGAGACAAAAGAATCTCATATCGGTGTCGTGAATGATCTGTGATTTGTTTATAAGCATTAAAAATTACCCGACTCATAATCAATTGGTTTTGTGATGGCTGTCCAAGATGACTTTTGACACAGAGATCAAGAGTACAAGTGTTAATTTGACTCGGTAATAGCATAGTTCTACTTGTATCTATGGACAAGATACATTTTATAGTCGAAGTCATGAAAGTTATTGGCACGTAGGTGTAAATAAATCGCACTTTCACTGTTCTTGTTCAAAATCTAGTGTCCTGAAATGTGTAGGGAGGAGTAGATGTACATAGTACAATACGGGATTGGCCGACAGCAGATCAATGAACATGTTGAAGAACATGGTTTGGTTGATTGTTCCTGCTTCCGAGTGTAACAACTAACAACTATAGAGTTAATCACGCATTGCTTTCTATTTCCGATGCTTTTGTTTTCTATTCTCATTTTCCGCAGGCCAAATCTACCATATAGGCTTTGGCCGACAACAAATTTATTGGTGAACTGGTTAGTGTGAACCAGTTTGAATTTTGTTGGGACCTCTTATTCAGTTCTTCCAGGTTTGAGATTGGTAATCTTCCAATGTACCATTTGTAAAATAATAGAGAATTCGACTTCTGTCGCTATTAAAAATTTACAGGTTTTAGTCGTTTTTCTTTTAAAAGAATTAATTAAAATTTACATTTCTAATGCAAATACTACCATACACTATCTTCTAATAGCAACGAGAACACTTTCGTGAGAAGGCTAACACAATAATACAATTTTTTTAATCAAAGCTATAATTGAACAATATTAAATTGTCCCAAAGCCAAAAGGGGGTTGAATAACCTCTGGGTGAAACAGTTTTTTTTTTTTTTCTTCTTTTTCCCCACAAATTTACCGCAAAATGTAGGCTCAAAAGTTATGATGTATACAATTTCTCATTTTCTCTGTACCTCAAAATACTAAGGATCCAGACATTGGTTACGCCCAAATTTCGGTTTAGCTTTTGTGGGAAAACTCAAAACATACTCCATTGGCTCCTTAAAAATAAGTTATAATTCTTTAGTTTTAAAATTATTATCCAGTTTGAGATTTCACTTCATTTTAATTAAAAATAGAAATTTAAACTGGAGAATAATTTTAGTATAGAGTATATGATTAGTTTTATAATTTCAGCTTAATCTGAATTACTGTTTAGGATGGAGGGAGTAACTTTCACTCGTACAATAAATATAGAATTATATATATATATAAAAGAATAATGTTAGATTCTTTCACATGTACAAACGACTTATTTACACTAGCCAACAGCTAGCTTCGGAAATTGTTTAGTTCTTGAATGTTTTAATCCCACTATAATGGTAGCTAAGTTACCAAAAAGGTTTCAAACATACTAACTCTTTTAGGTTTTTCGTATCACATTTTTAAATTTCTACAGGGAAAAAAAAACCAATGGTGAATAACGATAAAAGAACATTGTTTGGCAAACAGTACATTTGATTTGGACAGGAACAAACAGGCGTGGAGGCATCTGCTTTGAAAAGGGGCCACTAAACAAGAGGTCCACGACCACGACCAATGCACACAACACAGCACGACCCACCGCCTAACTAATTGTCTCCCGCCATTAATTGCTGCCATATTTATTTATGATGGAGAGGGAGTGTTGAATTTTTGGCTACCAAGAAAACTCTAGATCATAATCGAAGATTCAAACTTTGTCACGGTCATCAAGCAACCTTTAATCTTTTCACTATTTCTCTCACCTATCGAGGTGTCTATCATGAACAAAAGGAATTAGTCACTGTTATTAACGGTGAACACTCTGCAATATGAAAAAAAAAAAAAAAACTCTAGATCATGAAAATTATTATTTCCGTTCAAAGAATGGCAGAACAAATGTATAACAAACATGGGTTTTTTTTTCTTTTTTGACAAAAATGGATTTTTTTTTCCATCCGAACTAAATGCTAAGTAGAAATGTGTAGTTATACTGGGTAAGAGTTCAGTAGGTGGAATGATAAGCGACTACATTAAGATTAAAAATATTGTTTACGAGACTAGATAGAGCCTAAATGTATGAAATTTTGTTGGAACAATTTAAATTAAAAAAAAAAAGAAAAAGAAATCAACAAGTAATGTTGTAGGCGAAGAAGTAAACGAATTGGAAGGAATTGGTTTGAAAAGAAGGTTTTTGTTTGAGGACAGAATTAAAATGAAAAGATACAGCAGAAAGAAAGGTGAAAGCTAATTCGCAATGTTTTTGCTTCTTTTTTTTTTTTTTCCGTTGCTTTAGGTCTTAAATATATAATTTTATTGTTGCGTTGATAATTCAATAATGTAAAATAAACATTTTTTGGATGAAATGAAATTATATTTAAAAAATGGAAATTAATGAAACACGTGGGATAGTCCTAATCCATAATACGGGCATGCGCTTCAATAACATCTAACCTAGGGACATAATTTACGGTATTAGAT